ACTACTGAAGGTACACCAACAAGATATTGTAGGAGTTGTAGAACTGTTGTACAAGAACAGGAAAATCGACCCAGAGGAATGTGAGTTCAGTATTTTTTTTTCTTTTTTTACAGGGAATACCCCACCCGGGCACAGGTCAAACGACCCACAACGGGGCCTGGGGGGCGAAAACAAAAAAGAACAGAAAGAAATTGAAAATAGAGAAGAAAAAGGTTATACTGTGTTAATCTACCCCCGAAGATGCCGGAAAACCAGCTTTTTAAAGTGAGACAGATTGTATAAGTATGGAAACACAGAAAAAGGCAGAGCATTCCACTGTTTGGCTGTGTGAAGAAAGAAGGAGGTACTATAACGGGTTATTCTTGTGTGACCGACATCCACAGAGAAACAGTGGGCACTGCGGTCAAGACGTGTGTTACGAGCCCATGGCCTTGCCGGCGGTACACAGGATGCCAAATCCACCGAACATTGCCCGTTAAAGTACCTGTAAAAGAGAGAGAGTGAAGCAACATTGCGGCGAAGAGAAAGGGAAGAGAGATTGTCGACTAAAGGAGAAGAGTTAAGATGACAAAATGCCTTTGATTCCACCCGATCTAATAGTTGGACAGAAGAAGAGCCACCCCAGATATGAGAGCAGTACCCCAAGTTAGGACGAATGAATCCCTTATATACTCGGAGCAACTGCTCAGGAGTGAAGTAGCTACGGCATCTGTACAGCATTCACAACTTTCGGGAGGCAGCTTTAGCTATATTACTGGATAAGACTTATTTATGAACTTTTCTCAAGAAACTTGCAAGAGGGGTGTGGTTATCTATGCTGGGCAAGACCTTAGAGCCAGCCAGGCGAGGGTACAGGGAGAGGGTGTTTTTGAAGAGTCCAAGTGGTGTAAAATTAAACTAGAGGGAAGGGACTTACTTATTGCCGGGTGTATCTAACGATCCCCAAACTGTGGCCCACTAAATCAAAGGAACTTAAGAGCCTTAATAGACAACTCGGCGATGCTCAACCCTAGCCACCCCCTTATCATGGGGGACTTTAACTATAGCGACATCGATTGGAGAAACGAGTTCACCCCAAATGACTTGAATAACTATGCTACTCTTTTTGTAGAAACTGAGAGATAACTTTCTGTTCCAACATGTTAGAGACCTGACACATTACAGAGGGGAGCAAACACCCAAGCCACTCGACCTCATCATTACAAACGAGGAGGGTATGGTGGCCAAAGTGGAACACCTTGCCCCAGTTGGCACCAGTCACCGTATGGTATTGTCATTCAGATTTAACTGTTACCTAGTTCAAGATAAGGCCAGGCCAAGGTGCAAATATTACAAGGGAAATTACAACGGAATGAGGGAAGAGATGGTATCCACTGGCCTGACTCATTAAGGCACAAGAACACAGACATAACACTGAATATCATAACTAGAAAAATGACCCATTTGATCGATAAATATGTACCCAAGACCAAACCCAGTGCGGCGGTCGACAAAGTTAAGAAGAAAACCTAGAAATTCAAGACGTGGGTTGAGTCAAATGATGAGCAGGACAGGAGGATGTATGCAAGAACCAAAAACTAAGCAAAGATAGAATGTAGAAGGGCTAAAAAGGAGTTCCAGAGGCTGGTTGCAAGCAAGGTCAAGTCAAAACCAAAGGCGTTTTACCGCTATGCAAAGTCGAAATTAAAAACGCGAGTAGGAGTATCAGACCTGAGGCTTGAAGATGGTAGTTAAGCAGATTCTGACATGGATAAAGCTGAGGCATTGAACAGCTTCTTTTCGTCGGTGTTCACAAGAGAGGATGCGATTAACCTTCCTGCGTTTGAAGACAGATGGTTCGACACAGCACTGACCCACATTGTGTTCACAGAAAAGGGTATTAGAAATAAACTGTCCAAGCTAAAGGTCCATAAGAGTCCCGGACCTGACATGGTGCATCCTAGAGTGCTAAGAGAGTTGAGCAATGAGCTTGCCGAGCCCCTGAAGATCCTATTTTGTAAATGCCTGGATGAACAAAGCATCCCCAGTGAATGGAAAGTGGCTTATGTGAGTCCTATCGTCAAGAAGGGCAACCATCACTTCACGAACAAATGCAGACCGGTGAGCCTGACCAGCATAATATGTAAAGTACTTGAGAGTATTATCAGAGATGCTGCGATGGAACATCTACTACGAAACAACCTTGTAAAGGATTGCAAACATGGTTTTATGCCGGGGCGCTCCTGCTTAACACAATTGCTCAAGGTATTGGATATTTGGACCCATATTCTGTAACGGAGTGGTAATATCGACAATATTTACCTAGATTTTGCCAAGGCTTTCGATAGTGTACCCCACGAAAGGATGAAAATCAAACTGGAAGGGTACGGAATTCGGGGAAATGTCCTTGCGTGGATAGAAGACTTTCTACATGACCGCAAGCAGTGTGTGGTGATTAAAGGCACGAAATCATCATCCATACCTGTCACAAGCCGGGTACCACAGGGCAGTGTATTGGGCCCGCTGTTGTTTGTTTGTTTCATAAATGACATGCCTGACGTTGTACACTCCTCCATACAAATGTTTGCCGATGACGCCAAGTTATTTCGGGAAATCAAGAACCAAGCGGGCTGTGAAGAGCTCCAAGAATGGTCGAAGAAATGGCTGCTGAGATTCAATGTCACGAAGTGTAAGAGGGTGCACCTGGGGCGTACCATCGGTAAGCAGGCGTATCATATCTTTTACCCTCTTCACCACTGATCGGCTGCGTTAGCCGCTTGGGCGATCGGTCACGTCTCTGTTACGCACTGTTGGTAAGTACTGGGCATGCACTGGCTCCTGAATGTACCTGAACCCGTTCCAGTGTTGGTCAAATCTTGTCTTGAAAGAGCTCACACTCGGTGCCGTCACAACACTTTCTGGCAGATTGTTCCAAGAGTTCAATACCCTCACTCCGAAAACGTTTGCCCTCACAGCTTTCTGGGATGAAGAAATGCACTGTTTGAGACTGAATGTGAGGACTTAGGTTTGTATGTTGACAATGAGCTGAAGTTCTCGGGCCATTGCGAGAAGAAGGTAAACCAGGCAAATAAATTATTGGGTCTTATAAGAAGGTCGTACAGATATCTAGATAGTCCATCCCTCGAAACGATCTAAGAGTGAAGTGCTTCCCCATCTGGAGTACTGTCCCCGAGATATGCTAGGGACTGTCAGTTGGTTGAAAATGTTCAAAGGAGGGACACCAGACTAGTGCCTACCTTTCGGCACCTCAGCTACCCTGAGAGATTGGAGCGCCTGAACTTGTCTAGCTTATACTATAGACGGGCAAGGGGTGACCTGATAGAGGTGTATAAGCATTTCAAGGGGCACTGCTCAGTCGAGTGTCCTTACTTGGAGCTGGCGGACGCTCGCCCCACAAGGGGTCACAGCTCAAGATTGAAGAGGCCTCAAGTCCAGAAAACTGTTAGGGCAAACTTTTTCGGAGTGAGAGTTGTGAACTCTTGGAACAATCTACCAGAAATTGTTGTGACGGCACCGAGTGTGAGCTCTTTCAAGACAAGATTTGACCAATACTGGAGCGGGTTCAGGTACATTCAGGAGCCGGTGCATGCCCAGTACTTGCCAACAGTACGTAACAGAGACATGACCGATCGCCCAAGCGGCTAACGAGCCGATCAGTGGTGAAGAGGATAAAAGTATAATTAAAGCCTCAGGTCTGGTACTGCTACTCGCGTTTTTAATTTCGACTTTGCGTAGCGGTAAAACGCCTTTGGGTTTGACTTGATCTCGCTTGCAACCAGCCTCTGGCACTCCTTTTCAGCCCTTCTACATTCTGTCTTTGCTTGGTTTTTGGCTCTTGCATACATCCTCCTGTCCTGCTCATCATTTGACCCAACCCACTTTTTACTTTTTACTTTTATCTTCTTCACCACTGATCGGCTCGTTAGCCACTTGGGCGATCGGTCATGTCTCTTACACTTTTTTTTTTACCCTCTTCACCAAAAGATCGGCTCGTTAGCTGCTTGGGCGATCGGTCACGTCTCTGTTACGCACTGTAGGCAAGTACTGGGCAGTGGGCATGCACCGGCTACTGATTGTACCTGAACTCAGGTCTTGAATTTCTGGGTTTTCTTCTTAACTTTGTCGACCGCCGCATGGTTCATGTGTAGGAATCCCCTCGTATTCCTAGAGGCACTGGGTTTGGTCTTGGGTATATATTTATCGACCAAATGGGTCACTTTACTTCAGTATTTATGATATTCAGCGTAGTGTCTGCGTTCTTGTGCCTTAATGTGTCAGGCCAGTGGATACCCTTCATTACTGTGTCGAACCGTCTGTCCTCAAGCGCAGGACAATTAATAATTTTGTTGTTACTTTTTACTTTCAGTACTTGTGTACCTTATGAATGAGATGCCTTTTTACTTCTGCTTGAGTTCATTGATCTTCGGATACTTTTACTTCTATTTGAATAACATTTTGCCAATGTAACAATAATTATACCTAAGTAACAAAGTGCGGTACTTTTTACGAGTCTTATAATTCATCCAGTCAATTCGAGATATCATTACCCAATTAATTTGTTGTAACGGTGTATGAGTGTAGTACATCTCAAATTCTCCTGCTGGCAACTGATAATTTTCAAAGGGGGTATTTGCAGCGCCTTTTTCTTGCATATACATATATTTTTTTTATCGTTAGTCATTAGCACTTTTGGCTTTTATTTTCTTCAGTACTTTTATCAAATTATTCACAGGCTTTTAGGATTTTTATAAATATAATCACTTACAAACAATATTAGAATGCTCCTCACACGCACAAACATATATGCACACAAACATTCAGTGTGCCAGATGGTGTAATATTTTTGACACTTTTATAATTTGTGCAGATATTAGGTTATAGATGTTTTTGGTAAAATTTATATTATTGTTTCTGCTTGGTGACTCAGTCCGCAGGGAAATAACACGACTTATATGTTTGTTAATATTTAGTAGTTTTTGTTGATTTGGCACATGAGCACTGATGCCAGGAAAGCGACGCCGAGTTGAGTTGTTTACTTCGCGCACATGCAGAGCGTCTTCAGGAGGGAAATTTACTTCTGCTTACAAGATTCGCAGCTGGTTTACCTAACAGATATTGTGTTACTAATCTAACATTAATATCAGACGTATTCGTGATAATGGGTGATAAAAGAAAGAAGCAAAATGGAGAAGTTCCAGAGGATCGTGGCAAGGACGAGGATGTTGGTGCCGAGGGCGATGAGACGACTGACGATGAGGGAGGTGTGGACACTCCTCCCCCACAACAACCTGAAGAAGAAGAAGACGACCAACCTGACGGAGAGGGCAATTATGAGGTATATATAATATATCTCCGTATAGCAAAGTTCAAGGCAAATCCAGGTGTAGAATTAGGGCGCCACCTGTTTACTAGAGTGTTTCTTGGAGATCTTCACGGATGTTTTAATGCACAGATGAGAAGGTCTTGAAGGGAACAAGGAGAAAATAGTTACACTCATGGTCTGATTGTTTTAAGCTGTTCACTCAAATTTTTGGTTAGACTTGTCTGCTCAAACTAAGTTTGGTATTATTGCGTTTACACACTGTTCAATCCTACCACTAATCTATTATTATATTCGAATAAGACGTCAAATTATAAGATCATTTTCATCTATTACATTACCGGCGGAAATGTATAATAACGGAGATAGCATATCCAAAAATTTCTCTATTTTCATCCATTAATCTTCCTCCATTATCACCTGCCTCACCTCCAACACTGCATGTCTCCTGCGTCTCCTTCATAAATCTTCACGCGCATGCGTTCCCGTACACGTTATGCGGCCAATCAAAAGCGTTTTTGTTTTTGCAACCAATTAAAATGATTTTGGGTTTAATTCGCTTTGGCCCAATCAAATTCGAGTTTTATTTAGGGTCTCTCATATTTCGAAATTCAAGTTCAGTTCCGACCATGGAAGTCTGCGATGGGTGTCACTTAAATTATATGGAGCTGATTGCGAGTTTTTGGGAAAAAAAAACGAAGAAACTATAGCATTTTTTCGATCGCATGGTGTTCTTCCAACCTCAGTAAAGCATCCTAAGAGCAAGACTGAATGTAAATATCGCAAAGACCAACATATGTGGCGTCTGGGTAAGAATTTCAGAATCCAACGACGAACAAGAACCAGGCCAATAAGGTAAGAAATAGGGTCAGCGTAGATGGTGTTAAATCTGAGTGGGGCCGTGTAACCAGTGGGGTTCCCCAGGGGTCAGTACTAGGCCCACACTTGTTCATAATCTACATAAACGATTTAGATACTGGGATCAGCAGTGACATAAGCAAGTTTGCGGATGACACCAAAATAGGGCGGCAAATTAATTCAGGGCAGGATGCAAATGCATTACAGGAGGATCTAAATAAACTGCAGGGGTGGTCTGAAAAATGGCAAATGAAATTCAACACCAGCAAGTGCAGCGTACTTAATATTGGAAGAACAAATACTTATAATGTATACAGCCTTAACAACATCAACCTAGAGAAGTCGACTTGTGAAAGAGACCTAGGGGTACTTGTAAGCCCGGACCTACGGCCTAGAAAACAGTGCGTTAATGTTCGAAATAAGGCAAACAGAGTATTGGGTTTTATATCTAGAAGTGTAAGTAACAAGAGTGCAGAGGTCTTATTGCAACTATATCTTACGCTAGTTAGGCCGCACCTCGATTATGCGGTTCAGTTCTGGTGCCCCTATTATAGAATGGATATAAATTCACTAGAGTCGTGCAGCGAAGAATGACAAAAATGATTCGGGACTTAGAAACCTTCCATATCAGGATAGGTTAAAGAAACTTAACTTGCATTCCCTAGAAAGACGAAGAGGGGAGATATGATAGAAGTATTTAAGTGGGTGAAAGGAATCAATAAAGGGGATATAGATAAAGTTCTTATAATATCCGAGCAGGATAGGACTCGGAGCAACGGATTCAAGTTGGATAAGTTTAGGTTGAGGAGGGAGATAGGAAGAAACTGGTTTACAAATAGGGTGGTGGACGAGTGGAACAAGCTTAGCAACTTTGTAGTAAGTGCGGGAACTCTGGAAAGTTTCAAAAGGAGGCTAGATAGATTCATGGATGATAGAGAGTGGTAGTAACTCTCGACAGGAGCTGCCATGCACAGGCCAACCGGCCTATTGCAGACTCCTTATTTTCTTATGTTTCTTATATGGTGAGAGTCAGTTAGGTTAGGTTTTTGTTTTCTAGTGTTTTTTGGTGTATTTTGCTATGATTTTTTTTTTTTTGGAAAACGTCCAACGAAAAAAAAAATCGATAAAAAACCCCCCCGCTAATTTCCGCCCAAAATTAAGGTCATATTCGGTCTAAACACACACAAATACACTAGAAAAATATACTGATGCGCAGAATGGATATTTTCTGGTTCGGCCCATGGCCGCACTTATGTAGTACAGTATAGCAGAAGGGTAGAAATTTTTTGAGATAGAAATTTCACATAATGACACCGAGTGTGAGCTCTTTCAAAACCAAACTTGACCTACACTGGCACAGGTACAGATACTTTCAGGAGCCAGTACTTGCCAACAGTGCATAACAGAGATGTGGCTGACCACCCAAGTGGCTAACGAGCCGATCAGTCGTGAAGAGGATAAAGGTGAAAAGTAAAGTAATTATTCTTCAAACATCGGCAAACAATTTAAGTTTGAAAAAAAATACATATATTTCATGCCAAATATGTTGGTGATATTGAAAGTTTTGGGAAAATGTATAAGTTTTGAGTTATGACACTTCCTACCCTGTAACCATATGCCCATAGCAAGGCTGGATAAACTCAAAATTGAGGACATGTCCCTGGACTGTGTTGCTGAGTTCTGTTACCTGGGTGACAGGATCAGTGCTGAAGCATACTCATTTGCAAGCAGCAAGAGTCAGAAATGGCTGGATAAAATTAAGGGAGTTGCCACCTTTAATGACAGCAAGAGGACCTTCCTTTCATGTGAAAGGAGGAATGTATGTGACTGGTGTGAGAAGTGTGATGTATGGCAGTAAAACATGGACATTTAAAAAGAATGACAAAAGCTGACTGAAGCTGAAATGAAAATTGTGTAATGTGACACTGAAAGACAGGAGGCCCTGTTCAGTGCTAAGAGGGCAACTGGGTATTGAGAATACAGTAGTGTACTGTATTAGAAAGTTCTGCATAGAGGTAGAATGAGATGGTTTAGACATGTGGAGAGAATGGATGAGACCATTTGGGTCAAGAGGTGCATGAGCTAAGTTAAATACAGAAAAAAAATGGATGGAAATGGGTAATAAAAGGTCTCACTTGAGGCTGAATTTCATATTTTTGGTTGCCTATCTGAAGGATAGAAGGTGGGCTATTTCCAAAGTTGTCATTGTTGTTGTCTACAAAGTTTTGGTGAACATTTCATATACTGTACAGTGATTTTCTGCAAAATAGGTATAAAAGGTCTGTATCCCTGTAAGCCCCATCTTACATAGGTTATAGCCTTGTTCTATTACTTAACCCTTTTACTATATAAATTGCCAAAATGCTGGTACATTTTGAGAGTTTATTCATTAGCAAATATAGCACGCTTCATTTATCAAAACGAGCAGTTTTAATGAAAAAGCTGTGAATTCTAGAATTTTATTCTTTGCCTTTTTTGTATCATAAATTGTAGACTTTCCAATGTCGTATGTTTCCATTAGAACAGTATTGCTCACACCACGTTCTAGCTTCTTAATTATTTCAAGTTTGTCACTCAATTTCAACGTGTTTTTCTTTCTCTTCACACAACGAAGTTTATCTACTTTAGGAGCCATTATTATGGGCTTGTACAGTACTCTGTAAATGGAAAGAGTAGGACTCAAAATATTGTTATATTACAATGGTATTCTATTCATACTGTGCTTGATATAATGCATTCACGGAAATGTAATATTTTTGCTGAGATGACGTACGTATTACAGTGGAAAGTGGGATAAAATCATGACAAAAACAATGACTTTCGCTTTCTTTCGTTCAAAAGATGTTACCGTAATCGCTTTTCGATTGGTTTTCAGTTAAAAAACTGTTGTATTACATTAATATCCTATCCTAATTGACTTGAATAAATACTACGATAGCATATTTCTGAATATTTTCATTAAAATTCATCCAAATCATTTTCCTTGTCATTGTCTGCAGCACCAAACGGCTTCTCCCAGTCCTCTCCTTGAACAGGGCTAGAGGGTACGTGTTTTTCGAATCGTTTTCAGTTAAAAAACTGTTACATCACACGTATATTTTACCTAAACTGCGCCTGAATGAATATATTCTCGGAAATAAATAGTAGTTTTGCTGAAACGTGATGTATTTCAATGTCATATATTTTGCACAAAAGATAACATAGTTACCTAGAGAAAAATTTTTATCTAAAAATTGTATGTTTAATGCAAAATATATGATGTTTATATTCAAAATGATCACCAAATTATAAGAATTCCAGCAATGTAAATTATATTCTGACCGGGTAATTTGTATGAATTTTATGAGCTAAAACAAATATCTTCAGTTAATAAAAAAAAAAATAATCTTCACGACACTATCTGTCAATCAAAGTACCCCACCTTGCCTCCCCCCTCTTCCAACCGCGCGGTCAGTCCCAACCCTCCCCCCCACCCCCCACCAATCCTCCCTTCCAGAGTTTTTAACATTTAGTATTAAATAATACCTCAGATTAAAGTTAGGATAATATAATTGACATTGCTGGATTCCTTGTAAGACCAGGAATATTTTGAATATAAATGTCATATATTTTGCACAAAAGATAACATAGTTACCTAGAGAAAAATTTTATCTAAAAATTGTATGTTTAATGCAAAATATATGATGTTTATATTCAAAATGATCACCAAATTATAAGAATTCCAGCAATGTAAATTATATTCTGACCGGGTAATTTGTATGAATTTTATGAGCTAAAACAAATATCTTCAGTTAATAAAAAAAAAATAATCTTCACGACACTATCTGTCAATCAAAGTACCCCACCTTGCCTCCCCCCCTCTTCCAACCGCGCGGTCAGTCCCAACCCTCCCCCCCACCCCCCACCAATCCTCCCTTCCAGAGTTTTTAACATTTAGTATTAAATAATACCTCAGATTAAAGTTAGGATAATATAATTGACATTGCTGGATTCCTTGTAAGACCAGGAATATTTTGAATATAAATGTCATATATTTTGCACAAAAGATAACATAGTTACCTAGAGAAAAATTTTTATCTAAAAATTGTATGTTTAATGCAAAATATATGATGTTTATATTCAAAATGATCACCAAATTATAAGAATTCCAGCAATGTAAATTATATTCTGACCGGGTAATTTGTATGAATTTTATGAGCTAAAACAAATATCTTCAGTTAATAAAAAAAAAAATAATTCTTCACAGGGTAACAGATGGTCGGTCGGTCCCTCCCTCCCCCCCACCCCCCACCAACCGTCCCAAGGAGATGTGTGGGATAACCACTAAATTTTAATAAATAATACCTCAAACTAAAGTTAGGATAATATAATTGACATTGCTGGATTCCTTGTAAGACCAGGAATATTTTGAATATAAATGTCATATATTTTGCACAAAAGATAACATAGTTACCTAGAGAAAAATTTTTATCTAAAAATTGTATGTTTAATGCAAAATATATGATGTTTATATTCAAAATGATCACCAAATTATAAGAATTCCAGCAATGTAAATTATATTCTGACCGGGTAATTTGTATGAATTTTATGAGCTAAAACAGGCAGTCAGGCAGGGTGGCGGGTGGGGCAAATCTAAAAATAGCGTCTCGAGCCGGACACTCACCGCGTATATGTGGAAAAAATCCGTGTTAAGTGAAAGTTCAGCTCTGGCGAGGCACCGCGTATATGATAAAATGCGTTAAGTGAAACGGCGTTAGGCGGGGTAATACTGTATTCTATTCATACTGTGCTTGATATAATACATTCACGGAAATGTAATATTTTTGCTGAAATTACGTACGTATTACAGTGGAAAGTGGGATCAAATCGTGACGAAAACAATGACTTTCGCTTTCTTTCGTTGAAAAGATGTTACCATAATCGCTTTTCGAATGGCTTAGTTGAAAAACTGTTGTATTACAATAATATTCCCTCCTAATTGACTTGAATAAATACTTGAATGGAAATATACAATATTTTTGTTGAAACTACCCGCGTTTCAGTGTAGTGTCGTAATAATAAATGGTAAACAATTTTCCTTCGGCACTCGTGTTTCAGGCACGGCGAGCCTCAGCTTATAGGACGTAGAGCGTTTTTACTGAAGGTTTTGTTGTTCCATTACCCTAAAAAATGTGGGTCGAACTATAAACGAGGAATATCATAAATTAACGATTTCTTGGTCAAAAAATTAGGGTCGACCGATAAACGAGGGGGGGTAAAAGACGAGTATATACGGTATGTTGTCACAGTTTGATTGCTCGTTTTAAAGTGGCGACCACGTGGTCGCTTGTTGTCGCTGTGCAGCTGTGGCGCTCACGCATGCGCACATACACACAAAAGCCCGCTAAAAAAAAAAAATAGTTTCAAAATGTCCGGATTCTCGGGTGGTCCGGATTTCTGGCATCCGGATTTTTGGACTTTTACACACACATGCACACAGTGGTCCCTCGGTTAACGAACACAATTCTTTCCAGAAGGTCATTCGTTAACTGAAAATTTTGTTAACTGAATCCATTGTTTCAATGGGATATTGGGGAATTGGTTCCTGCTCACCGAAAAGTACATACAAAGTAAAAAAAAAATGCAGTTAAGTACACTTACTTTGAGGTGTGTATGTAGAAGGTTCCTGGTTGATGATGATGATGGGAATTAGAAGTGGGGGTGGAGGAGAAGGGAGAATAGAAGGAACGTATAAGTCGACCTTATTATTTTCAGGTTAAAAATTTGAATTCGGCCTATTCTTGGCATATAAATCGACTGCAGAACTTCCAAGCTACAAAGCGGCATCCCTTTGATCATCCAACGTCACGCCCTCCGATAGTCATGTATCACAAAATCAGGTTATTCGGTGACTACCGAAGGACGTGACGTGGGATGGTCAAAGTGATGCCGCCTGGGTCACTGACTGTGCTAATCTCTCGTTCACTAACCCTGTGTGAGTGAGTTCAGTTTTGAATATAAGCTCAGACTTCTTTTTATAGCTCCAATGCCGTTTCAGCCCTTGTCAAGTTCAGTACTTGTAGTGCAATGTTTGTGTAACGGAATAACATACTAATGTAATGAGATGCAACCATTTTAAAGCGCTGCATTACATTTCACTATTTCACTTAACTTTCCTACAAGATTTACATAATCTTTTTTTGTCATCATAGATAAAGCTAAAATGCATGGTATATATAATAATAGGTATGGATTATCTCTTGAATTGGGTGCAAATAATATTGGGTACGACGTATCACGTGAGTTGGGTACGAGTTATCTTGGTACGAGTTGGCGTGGGTACAAGTTAACTTTTTTGGGTACGATTTATCTTGGGTACGAGATGACCCTAACCTTCCACAATGTATTGATAACATTATGAATCTAACTGAATAACATTATAAACATCTGTTATTTAAACTTCAGTTAAGCGTTTGGAGAAATATTAATTTCATTAAAGTATTTGGCTGCTCACCCTGTCCCTGCTCTCAGGGGATTATTGTACCACAACTTGAGGTCATCCTCAAATGGACACACAAAGCCAGACTAAGTATTCACCCATGGCACCCTGCCTCATGAAATGGTTTGTAATATGAATGGATGATGATGTGCCTGTGGTAAGATTTTTTGCTCAGATAAGCCTAGGCAACTGTGGGCAGAAGGGGGATATGTCATATTCATTATGACCTGTGTATGCTGTTTTTCCCTGAGCAAAGTCCTTGTTATTAAAAAAAATGTAATCCAATTTTAATACTTTATTTAGTTTATTTTTTAATGTAACAATTCTATGTTTGCTTATTTAATTTTACCTTTAGGTTGATCAAATAGTTGATATGGAGTGCAAGAAACGTTGGAAGTGCCCTGTTAAATTTCGAGTGAGATGGCTTGGTTATGGAGAAAAGGACGACACCTGGCTACCGGCTTCAGAGCTCAGTTGTGATGACCTTATTAATGAATTCCTAGAAATTTCTGGAAGAACGTCAGAATTTAAGGTGAGCATTTGTATAGAATTTTCCAGGTTCCATTGATTTTATTATCTAGTACACGTGCTTCTCTACTTAGGAGTGGGTTGTGTTCCTGAGGCTTGTTCGGAAGTTCATTTATTCAAGGTCCAACTTTACTCCTATAAATACTGAATACTGTACAGTAAAGCCTCGAATAATGACGGTAATGTGTCCTCCAATTTTGCAGTGTAAGGTGAATCATCGTATCGCAAATCATTAATTACCATTAAAATAAAACAATAATAATGAGATGTGTTCCAAAGTCTGACCTTTTCATATCTTTTGTGTGGCTTTTTACTCTCTTTTCCCCCCCAAAACAATACAATTAATGAAAATTGCAAACTGTATTCTTTAAATAATGTTTCTGAATGCACCTGATACAATATAAATGAATAATAATATGGTCACACAAGAGGGGATGGGACACCATTGTTTTCATTGTGTTTACAGCCGAGAGTCCGGGACGATAGTTCTACACGAGAAAATTAAGAAAATAAGACCCTGGTTGTAACTGTAGTAAAATTAATGTAAAAAAATTGATTATATGCTGTGTGTTTTATATAAAGTTATTTAATGTTAATAAATGGAACAATAGAAGTAGCTAACCACTAATGATAGAGAAAAAAAGTGAGATGGATTGGGAAAGCCAACATATACGTGAGCATTTAAGGATACCGCGTCATTTATCCTTTTAAGAATACTCTGTATGTACAAAAGATTCATTATTGTTTATTACTGAATATCTATTTGGCTGAATTAGTCTTTATATATGCGAAATGAACAATACAATTCATTAATAATGCGTATAATATTAAAACATACAAGATAAGAGACGGCATTGTTGTTGTCAGTGTTTACACCCATAATGTCAGTTATCCACCTGAAACTGAAGAAAATAAGACCCTGGTTGTTGTTATAGTAAAATTAATGTAAAAAATATGTACGCTATGTTTTAATTTATGTTATTTAATGTACATTAGAAGTAACCACTAATATTAAAGAAAAAGTGAAACTGATAGTGGAACGCCAATGTATACATGCGCACTCAAGGAAACATAGTCATTTATCTTAAGAATATGTACAAAAGATTCATTAATGTTTATTACTGAATATGTATTTGATTGAATTAATGATTACAGTATTACCCCGCCTAACGCGGTTTCACTTAACGCGCGGTTTCACTTAACGCGCGGTTTCACTTAACGCGTTTTATCATATACGCGGTGCCTCGCCAGAGCTGAACTTTCACTTAACACGGATTTTTTCCACATATACGCGGTGAGTGTCCGGCTCGAGACGCTATTTTTAGATTTGCCCCACCCTGCCTGACTGCCTGTTTTAGCTCATAAAATTCATACAAATTACCCGGTCTGAATATTATTTACATTGCTGGAATTCTTATAATTTGATGATCATTTTGAATATAAACATCATATTTTTGCATTAGACATACAAATTTTAGATAAAAATTTTTCTCAAATTAACTATGTTATCTTTTGTGCAAAATATATGACATTTATATTCAAAATATTCCTGGTCTTACAAGGAATCCAGCAATGTCAATTATATTATCCTAACTTTAGTTTGAGGTATTATTTATTAAAATTTAGTGGTTATCCCACACATCTCCTTGGGACGGTTGGTGGGGGGTGGGGGGGAGGGAGGGACCGACCGACCATCTGTTACCCAGTGAAGAATTATTTTTTTTTTTATTAACTGAAGATATTTGTTTTAGCTCATAAAATTCATACAAATTATCCGGTCTGAATATAATTTACATTGCTGGAATTCTTATAATTTGATGATCATTTTGAATATAAACATCATATTTTTGCATTAGACATACAAATTTTAGATAAAATTTTTTCTCAAATTAACTATGTTATCTTTTGTGCAAAATATATGACATTTATATTCAAAATATTCCTGGTCTTACAAGGAATCCAGCAATGTCAATTATATTATCCTAACTTTAATCTGAGGTATTATTTAATACTAAATGTTAAAAACCCTGGAAGGGAGGATTGGTGGGGGGTGGGGGGGAGGGTTGGGACTGACCGCGCGGTTGGAAGAGGGGGGGAGGCAAGGTGGGGTACTTTGATTGACAGATAGTGTTGTAAAGATTATTTTTTTTTTTATTAACTGAAGATATTTGTTTTAGCTCATAAAATTCATACAAATTACCCGGTCAGAATATAATTTACATTGCTGGAATTCTTATAATTTGGTGATCATTTTGAATATAAACATCATATATTTTGCATTAAACATACAAATTTTAGATAAAAAATTTTCTCTAGGTAACTATGTTATCTTTTGTGCAAAATATATGACATTTATATTCAAAATATTCCTGGTCTTACAAGGAATCCAGCAATGTCAATTGTATTATCCTAACTTTAGTTTGAGGTATTATTTATTAAAATTTAGTGGTTTTCCCCCAAAAATTTCTCTGAGAGGGAAGAGCCGGCAGTGTAGTGTGAGAGGGGGAGGGAGTTGAGTCCATTATTTGAATGGACATTAACTTGGCGACTGTATTTCTCTATTTCTCTTAAGTATTAATTGTGTGCATGTACCATCATAAAATTAAGATGTTATTTTTACTACAACATAGGTATGTGCCTTCATAAAGTGGAGTTTGGGGGTCGGGCTGGTTTCTATTGGAATTAATCCCATATGTTCTGTTGTTCACTTAACGCGGATTTCACTTAACGCGGGACCCTCTGGGTTCAATTGACCGCGTTAAGTGGGGTACAACTGTATATATGTGAAATGAACAATGCAATTCATTAATAATACATAGAATATTAAAACACACACGAGGAGACAAGACGGCATTGTTTTCGTGAGTGACGGTGGTTCTACATAAGAAACTGAAGAAAATAAGACCCTAGTTGTAACTGTAGTGAACTTAATGTAAAAAAATTGAATACCTGTATGTTTGTTTTAAGTAATGTTAATAAACGGAACACTAGAAGTAGTTAACCACTAATGGTAAAGAAATAAAGTGAGACGATTGGGAACACCAACGTATGTACAGTAAGTGCATCATGTGAAAACATATCGTCATTTCTCTACATATGAATATGAAAGCAACACTTATTTACTGTTCATATATGTTTTGAATAATACTTACGAATGTAAAACAAAAATTCTACTCGCCAATGGTGGTAAAGTCTAAACGATAAGGACAGCCAATGATGTTGTGCGAGTTTTGACTCAGATGACGAAGTCATCAGGTTCAACTCTGGCTGAAGCTGTAACTTTCCATAAAGCTGTTGTTGAAACTGTTACTGAACCTGAAGTTGTTGTTGAAGCTACTTTTGATGCTGAAGTTGATGGTTTAGGCCTTCGAATAATAAAGCTGTCGAAAGAACCTTGCACAGCTGCTTTCTTTTCTCATTATACATCTTTATGTAAAGGTCATTTGCATTCAATTAAATTCTCATGCTGTGTTTTGTTAATGGATCCATTTCAGAAAATATGTTCATTGCTCTCTCCATATAATATCAACAGACCTGTCACCTTTTTCATATCGTTTTAACACATCTAGTTTCTCGGCTAAGCTTATTCACTTTCTTTTAGCTTTTGAAACAACACTACCATCACTTGCTCTCTTGCTCATGTTGAATAGGGACGCAAAAATGCTGTAAGAAACCTGAGAAAGTTTTTCTCCTTTTCCTGTTCAGATGAGTGAAAACAAAGGGTCCACCATTTGTTATAGTTTATACTAGTGATGCTGCTGGCGTCACCACTAACAAGCCGGCAGCCTCCGTGCGTGTTTTTTGTTTTGTTTTTATATTATCGGGATTTAGTTATTATTTATACAAAATTTTAATATATTTTTTAATTTCGTCGTAAATACGAAGAAAATAATGTCGTAAATTGAATTGGGTCCAAAATTAACCAGGGTCTTAGATATTAATTTTTGTTAGCTGAACCATCGTTATCAGAGGCTTTACTGTATACTGTATGGTAAAAAATGAAAAAAAAACTATACAGCACAGCTATACCCCAGTAATTAATACTGCACATTACTCTACATTATATCTTGACAGTCTTTAACACGACAGTATTTTAATATATATATTGTCATTTTAATGTAAAAATAATCGATTTAATGTATGAATACACTGTACTGTAGTCAATTAGGCGTTGCCACCGATTCATGTACTGAAACTGTAAAAGGTGTGGGAAAATCATTTCATTACTCTAATGTGACTTAGAAATAAAGGAAATATAATATACTGTATAACAATATAAAAGAAAAAGAACATTGAAGAGCATGAGAGTAAACAGTATTCTATGAGGTGAACTTATGTATGGATGCGTCATGCTGTCTCCCCACACTCTGGGAGTAGCAGCCAAGCATCTCCAAAATCAGCTGGCTCACCGAAAATTGCCTAAAATCAACAAAAAAGGTAGTAAAGTACACTTACTTTGAGGTGTGTATGTAGAAGGCTCCTGGATGATGATGATGATGGGAATTAGAATGGGGGTGGAGGAGAAGGGAGAAGAGAAGGCATTGGGGTGGAAGAGAAGTAACCCCATGGCCCCATTTCACCCATAAAATTTTAGTTCTCTTGGTGTTATTCAAGATTATTTTCTTTAAATCAACACTGCACTGCATTATATATTGTCAATATGTAAAATAAATTTCAAATTGACCAATAATTTGCTTGGAAACACAGAAAAAAGGCATTTAGTTGAAGAGAGTCTCAAGCAAGAAGTTACCTCCAGTGAAAAGACACACAGACTGACGCCTGTATGGTGTGTTGACAGGCTGTATGGTGTGCAAAAAACTAGCTTCCTGTACTTCAATTATGTTCAATAATTGTTAAAATGACTAAAAAATTTAATATAAAACTTTTAAAATTATTGAATAGTATAAACTTCTTGATATTTACGAAAATAGTAAGGAATATAAGCCCTAGAACCAATTACTGTATTGGTGGACTAATACTACAGCTGGTGGACCGCCAAATGCA